GAGCCTCTTCTATGTGCCATGCCCAGCTGCCATCTCAACATTTGAATGAAGAGCATGAACAAAACGCCATTGAATGCTCTGCTTGGACCGAGGCATGAGGTTAGGGAATGAGATAATGGGTCCAGTGGGACTATCTTCAGCTGGAAATAGATTGTAGAACTAGGTCAGAAGAGCATGAGAGATGGGAAGGAGATGGAACTGTTCTGAGGACAGTAATTCGATATCCCCATCTCTCTGTTGGGACCAGAAAGAATTTAATGGAAAAGATTGGATGACAGCTACATACTGTGGTCTGCTAGATGGCCAGTATGACTTTACTTCCTTTTCCATTCCTTGCAAAGAATAAAACACTTTCTTCACTCCCACCCCCACTCCCAACCTTCTACCATGAGTCAGGACATGTTGCAGTTTGTTGCCAGAAACGGAGGGATTAACTTGCTGCAGCTTCTTTCCCAGTATTCTCAAGAGTGGCAGGCATGAATAAGGGATGTCTTCTGAACTGTTCCAGTTAAGTTCTGAGTGCAGGCTACAACTAGAAGTCAATCATTTAAGAAAAGGTTTTGAGTGATTTTTTTTCAAGTAAAACAAAACAGCTCCAGTTATTCTCCAGATCTAATTCTGGGAGGTGAGAAATATGTTTTCCTAACAAACTGCCATTGATTGCTCTTTTTAATAACACCAAGGGGTCAAGTAACCAACATATGAAATGTGTAGCATGTAGAAGTGCTTCTGTTTGTATCTATCCTAAGAAAAGTGCATGGTAGGCTGATCCAAATTTAAGATTATTGACTGAAGTGGAGGAGGGTAATCTGATCCTCCCCCAACAGCTCCAACATTTATTTATTTATTTGCTGCCCATCTTTCCATAGGGTAACACTGTTTATGTAACTGTTACATATACAGTTAAAATATAAAAAGTTTTGTGGACATAAAACGTATATAAGTTCTATCACCCAGTGAGTGAATATGGCAACTTTTAAAAACAAATGGATTTCTTAAAAAATGTGGCTGCATGTATGTGCATGAAAGAGAGAAAGTGCTTTATTATGTCTTCAGACATCCTATTTTAAATAGTGTTCCTTAAATTTTAGTTTCCCAAAGTGTTGCCTTTTAGCTTATTGAAGCTAAGAGCCAATACTTTGCAGATGTGCCATAAGAGGAGGAGCCCTGGTGGCACAATGGTTAGAATGCATTATTGCATTATTATATGCCCCACAGCCTGGAGTTCGATCCTGACTGGCTCGAAGTTGACTCAACCTTCCATTCTTCAGAAAGTGAGGAGCCAGATTGTTGGGGGCAATAGGCTGACCTTTATAAACCACCCAAAGAGTGCTATAAAGCACGATGGAGCAGTAAATAAATCTAAGTGCTATTGCTGTTGTTGAAGGATGCTAGATTGAAGAAAAACGCTACATACACCTTTTGCTATATACACTTTTTTTGTGTGTGTATGTGCACATGTGCCTTTGAGTCAGTACTGTATAATTCCTGGTGACTTCCTGGAGAGGCCCCTGTAGTTTTCTTGCCAAGATTTAAGAAGTGGTTTGCCTCCTTCCTAGAATGACTGACTGGGTTGGTTTTGTGGTGAAGGTAGGAGCTCAGCTCACATTCTAATTTCAGGGTTCAAATATTTTTATTAGTTTATTAAAATATATGATAAAAATTAAGATAATGGGAAATTAAGGGAGGTAAAGGGGAAGAGAGAAAAGTGTAAGATAAAGGGGGAAAAGAAAAGCATTGGCTTGTGACTTCTTTGGGTGCAGTGGAATAAGGTAGTAACATAAAACCTCAGTGTTTTACTTTTATTTGATAATATATACTAGCCATTTCTATAACCACAAACCTATCTAATCAGCAAAACCAAAAATCAAAGTTTCATTGTTTTTCCCCACCTCAAGCATAAAGTCCCTTCACTCTTCATTAGACGGTGGAGTTGATTTTAAATTCTGCACAAGCAACTCAGTGTGAAGCTGATCATTCAAAATGTTTTGCATCTGGAAGAAGATGGCAATGGATTTAAGGCTCCAAGTTTGCTGAAGTATTGTGTCACACAAGAGCACACAATAGATATAAACTAAATGTAAACCACTCCAAACTTGATTGCAGGAAGTACGATTTCAGCAACAGAGTGGTCAATGTCTGGAACTCACTACCTGATTCTGTTGTCACCTGCTCAAACCCCTTTTCTTTCAGACTGCTCCTTTACCCTCAAACTAACCTCTATTGACCTCACCCCATTCCTAAGAGGTCTGTAAGGGGCATACATAAGTGCACAGTCATGCCTACCGTCCCTGTCCTATTGTCCCCAATTATTAGTTCCTATTTCTTATATTTAAACTTATGTTTATTCTTATTTCTTATTTCTATTGTATTGTAAACTTTTGACAAGTAAATAAATAATTTTTTTTTAAAAAAAATAAAATAAATAGGGGAAGGAACATACTTTTGATGTCCTCATTTGTTGATAAAATGTCATCCATCATCTAAGAAAGGAAAGGATTTTTCAGCCAGTCAAACATTCTTGTCTTTTATTATATTTTGAGAGAGAAAGAAGCAAGAAATAACTGATAAACAATGAGTTTTACTTGTTGCTAGATAATTTTTCTTGGAATTTATTAGTGGAGGAATATATAAGAAAGATGAGGTTTTGTACACATGTACGCACATATACATATACATACAAATGAACAAATAGTCTGAGATATGAATGTACCAGGGTGGACAACATGATGCCTATGGCAAGAATGTGCCTGAAAATCACACTCTTGGTGCCCAATAAGCTCTGTGGCCTATTGACTTTTATTTTTTTAGGTTCTTTAATTTTTTTTTAAAGTGGGAAGCTATCAAGCATCAAACCAAAGCACCAGCCTTCAGCACTACTGGGATTCCTTAGAAATAAAAAAATGATGGATGGCTGAAGTTTAGTGATTCAGGAAGAAGGAGGAGGTGCAACACTGGCAGCAATGAAAGGGATTTTTGAAATGTTAAATGAGAAGACGAAGACCAACCTCACAGGTCTGTGTCCTAGTAAATGGATGTCCCTAATTGGTCAAATACCTCTGGCAACCACTTTATGAATGATCAAATCCTCAGTTGCTAATTTTTAATGAGAGGGCCCACAGTATTATCTCAGAATTACAAATGTTGCCATCAGCTCTTAAAGATTCTCTATCCATGCTGTGTAGAAATAGGCATGAAACTTTCTGGTCACAGTCTATTAGTAATATTTAATATATAGAGTGGGATGTTTTCAGTAACCAACCTATTCGTTGACAGATTCCTAATTATTAGCATGTGCGGCTGAAATCTGCACTCCTAGAAGATGTTTCCTATTCAGTTAAGTGCGCTTCACTGGACACCTAGAAATGAAGGCAAACAGCCAGAGGATTTGAGGCTGGTTTGCCAATAGTATTGGGGAAGTCTTATTTAACTGTGTTTTATTTAACACTCCTTTCATTCTACGTCTGCAATGGGGGCAGCCATATGGATCAGGTAAAAAGGGAGTGGGGTGGGATGAGGGGGGATGGGACATGGCCAGGAATGCTGGTTGGGAAGGTGCTTAGACTAGCAATGTGTTGCTTTATATTCCACACTGCAGTCAGTCCTGGGGAAGCCTACAGATTGGGGTCACAGCCAAACTTGAAAGAATTAACTTGGCAACATAAGATAATGATGCCTAGGGTGGTTTTGACTTCACCAGACATGAGAGGATGTGCTACCATTCACTGAATCAGGCCAGAATGCAAGCTGCTATACATCATCCTTGTCTTGCCAAGGATGGAAATCATGTGTTCCCAAGGCAAGGGCCAATCTTTGTAGTTGGGCTGCACATTTTTAATTATTTAGTGGCCAGTGACCACGTAGAGCTGGATAGTGTTATCACTCTAATGAGAAAATTAATTGTTTGGGTTTCAAAAATATCTGGGATTTGCATTTTTCAGGTATCAAATATACCTGGGTTTTGCAGATTATTATATATGGACTCATTCAAGAGCTTAGCACGTCTTTAAAAACTTTTGTGCTGGAAAGACAGGAAGGAGATACGCTGATCTTTCCCCCCATTCATTCAATGTATATTTTAAGGTGTTCATACAGAGTATGTTTATTTGTTTTGAAATAAAATATAGTGAAGGTGACAACTTGAGTTTTAAGGGGCATAATTCCAGTTTCCATTTCTTGGAAACTAAAGGCATGTGGCATTGTTTAGGTACCAGAAACATTTCCCCCCTTATCTGGCAAACTTATATGCCCTGAGCTGAGCCTATATAAGACACCAACCCATCTTTGGGTTGGAAGGATTTTGAAAGAATTCAGGTGAGGCTATGATAGCTTTGCTATTCAAAGCAAGCCAATGGCTGTCTCATTAATCTTTTCCAGCAGATCTGGCTATTGATAGAGTTTTATGATTTATAATTGTAATGAATATCCATTTTGAATGAAATTTCCAATTCTAGTCAAGGTGTTTGATGTAGAGTTGCTGCAAATCCTACCTTCCTCTATTCTTGAATGGACTCCCCTTGAATGTCTCCACCTGAGCAAATAAATAAAAAATATTTCGAACACTTTGTATTCAGCAGATAAGTATACATTTTTTTCAGGATGTGCTTCACTGCTATCTTCTGCCTTGAAAAGACTGCACTGAATATACCTGCTTGGGGAAACAGGGAAAAGCATACAAAAACATTACATATAACAGCAACATAGTTTTGCCTTATATAAATAATCTTTCTAGGCACCCCTTGTGATTTTCCTTTCAGTGTCTCTTTTTTGCCCGGACGATTTGTGTTCAGCTATATCTTAATAGTGATGAGCGATAGTAGTTCTATTAGAGCTGATAGGAATTTGAGACATGTTTCCCATTATTTTCTAAGCACATCTTGTTGCCTCGGGTAAAACAGGCTTCGCAAGAAAGGAAAAGCAGCGAGCTGGAAAGCATGAGCCGTACTTATTTTTTTTCGCTGTGAGGCTGGGATGGACCGTGTCCTGTGCTTCTCTTCCAGATGGCCTTGTGGATGTGCTCCAGGCGTTTGGTGTGCGGGAGGGCAAGAATGGGGTCACCATCGCTGCTGGCATCTGCACTCAGAGGAATGGATCGGAGGAAACTGACCTGGCCTTCCGCCTGGAGAATCACACTCATTTCATCACCCCCACCAGGCAGCTCTTCCCTGGTAATGTAAAGCAATATATCTATGTGGATCTGCATAGTTAGCCGAACCCCAAAGCCGGTTTACATACGTATCTTAGGGCCTCATCCCTTGAACGTGTTCAAAATGATGTCTCAAAGTGCAGAAGACAGATGTGTCCCAAAACTTGCTTCCTAAAATTGTGAAAAGCTGAGTACAAATGCATGCATTGTACGTGGCCATGTGGGAAACTAGGACCGGCTTGAAATTGAGTGGGAATCTTTTCTAAATTCTGTACTTATTCTGCAATAAATCCTTCAGAGATTCAGGACTACTAGGAATTGTGTAGAGCCCTCAAAGTGGTGAAAGGGGAGAGCATTTGGGGATGGGTTAAAACACTTGTTTGGTTCCTGGTTCTGTTGGTTTCTCAGGATGCATTATCTCCTCCTCTTGCAGATGGCCCCTTCCCAGTGGACTTTTCAATATTAGCCACAATGAGAGCACTCAAAGGCAGCCAATCTTTTTTGTTTTCCCTGCATGATGAACGTGGTGTACAGCAGCTTGGTGTAGAGATTGGACGTTCCCCCGTCTTTCTCTATGAAGACCAGCTGGGTTTCCCAGCTCCTGAGGATTATCCTCATTTTCACAGAGTCAACTTGGCTGATGGCAAGTGAGTTGGGATATTGGGGTAGGGGAAAAAAATAGAAGAGAGCTATTTAGAAATGGTTCTCTTATCACACACATGTGGACATGACTGAAATATTACTTAGTTTGAGTATGATTTTTTAAAATAGGATTACTTTTGCAGTGGTTTTAAAAGGGATACATTATAGGTTCTTTGTTGTGATAGATTGAGAGAGGTAATATTTACACACACACACACACCAACTCACATACATCAACAGTTTTGATTTTAATCCCAGGATTAAAGATGCCAAAATCTAACAATTGTGGTTTGCAAAAGCTACTGCAGTAAAGTACAACTTCTTCGGTAGTTAAGAAAGAGCAACTACTAAACAAAGTTAACTCTATAATGTCTTAGATCAGGGGTGTTAACTCAAAATTCAATTTCATTGAGGGCCGCATCAGGATTGTGTTTGACCTCAGGGGGCCGGAGTGGGCATGGCCAGCTCATCGTCACTCGTGTCAGGAATGCCTATGGTGGCCTGAGCACTCTGCCCGCAAAAACGGGCTCCCAAGCTCTGTTTTTGACTGGGATGGCTTCCTGCAACCCTCTGTCAGTGAAAATGGAGGTCAGGAGGGCTGCCCACAGTCCTTGCAAGCTCCATATTTGGCTACAACAGCCTCCTGCAACCCTCTGTCAGCTAAAATGGAGCTTGTGAGAGCCACCTGTGACCCTCCCGAGCTCTGTTTACGCTGGCAGAGGCACCACGAGCCGGTCCTTTGCTGTTTCCAGGGCGGCCCCCATGAGCCAGACTACGTACCTTGTGGGCCGGATCTGGCCCCCAGGCCTTGAGTTTGACACCCCTCTCTTAGATGGTTTAATAGAACTAAAATTGTGTGACCAAAGCATAATTTCTCTTTTCTTACATGCATCAATGTTTATTGAACTGATGTCACTGTTAAATATATTATCTTGATGATCAAAGCTCTATAAGAAAATCAAATACTACTAGTACTTTTTCTTTAAAAAAAACCATTTTTGGTACCTGTCATATAATGCTCAGAACAGCTCTCTTGATCTGGCACCTTCTAGATATGTTAAGCACAATTTCCTTATTCCTCAGTCAGCATGAGGATTGTAGCCTTGCACAGCTGGAGAGTAGAGGTAGGGGAAAGATGGCATAGAATATTGGGTTTGATTTATGTCAGAGCTGTGTTCAAATCCTCCCCCTCAGGCATGAATTGTATTGGGTAACCTTAGAGTTATTTTCCTTATCCAACTCTCAGCCCAAACATGGAGTAATTATGACAATACATTAATGAAAACCTACTAAAAGTTGCAGAAAAGTTTAATGACTGGCTTCTTCCTCCACAGCTATTACCTTTTTTTTTTTTAGTGACCACATCTGTAGTTGACCTCATAGTTTATAGGAAAAATATTATAGGCAAACATTATGTAAAACTGTCAACATTATGACAGTAAAACTGTCAACATTATGACAGTAAAACTGTCAACAAAACTGTCAAGTTCCACTGGGAAGAGTAAAATCTTGTGACTTTTGGTCATGAGATTTCAGACACTTTTTAAAAGCTGTTAATTTGGAGGTGGGTTCATGTATTCTATATTGTTGCAAACTACCACAGTGCTAATCTTTGGCTTTTTGTGAAATCTAGTGGTTCACATAAAGGAAAAGGATGGAATCTGTAAAACATATTTGGCAGTTTAGCATGTTAGCAAAACTCACCGAGCTGCCAGCTGAAAATAAGATTTATCTGTGATGCTTCCAAATGGAATGCTTATTGCATTATTAATGGAAAGACATTCTGCAGTTATTCTGTTTCATAGTATACATGAATGAATGAATGAAGTAAGATAGTAAGAGTTCTTGGGAGGGTTACAACTGGAATATACCATTTTTGTGTGTGAATAAGGCAGAATGATTGCATAATAATAAACTCATCTGGATCTATCTCTGAAGTTCTCATGCTAATGCTGCCTTGTCCCACTAAGTTGCTTTACTGTTTTTTACCAGATGGCACCGCATTGCTCTGAGTGTGAAAGGTGAAAGCGTATCTTTGAACATCGACTGTGAAGATGCTATAACGTTGCCCTTGAAGCGAAGCAAGCAGCCAGTTGTCAGTATTGATGGGGTCACCTTGCTTGGGGCACGTCGACCAGATGAAGACATTTTTGAGGTAGGAAAAAATTACTCACAAATCTCAAATCATTTTTCCCACTCCAGTGAAAGTATAAATCAGTTACACTGCTGAAAATAACTTATACATGGCTCCTTGCTGATTCTAATGATGTTAGAGTACAAATTCCCACTACCTCACCTTTTCACACAACCATCTTAGCATCTCCCGATTCTAGATCTTTCTCCCTCCATGCCAATTGTGCCATCTCTTTCCCTGTGCCTGGCAAAGTTACAGGAGGCTGCTATGGGTCTGGGATGACAAATTGCACCAGAATACATTTTATATAGCTACAAAACCTCACAGAATACAGATGGCCTTTTCTGCTCTATCCCTGCTCTGCTCCCATGGGGGAAAACCAAATTGATTTGCAAGCATGGAAAGCCAGCGACTTGTGTTCTGTGTCATCTTCCCATTGCTGCCTTCCCTCTTCAGCACTTGCTGCCTGCCTGGTTGAGAATACTCAGCAGAGTCTGGCTTTGCATGCTTATACTGGCTGATTTCTGTGGAGGCCTTTTTTTAATTGAAACAGTCTGTGATCAGCAGCCATGGGAATTTTTGGGAAGGGGCCTTCCAAAATGACAGTGCTGAGATTTGGGAACCATTCTTTTTTTTTTTCTTTTGTGGCAAGAAAATGAACTCATTGATAGCAAACACTATAGATAATAGTTGAAATCATCTTCAACTCCCAAGGAATGAGAGAGAAGGCTTTCAGTTAAGTATCCGTGAAGGAGGGGAATCTTGACAGTTTGGATTAAAGGGTGGGTGATAATTAGGAAAAAACAACCATAAAAGATAGAAAATCTACAGAACGAAGAACTCAAAAGACAATATTGCTAATGAATGAGAGTAAAGAAACAGAAACAAAAGAAAGGATAGAAGAAGAAAAAGACAGAGAAGATTCTGTATGCCACTAGCATTCCAGAATAGGCATGGGATCAGACTTTTCAGGAAGACAACTTAGGGATTTCTCATCTACAAAGGACATCATTAGTTTCAGTAGCCGTGGAAGCAGAGAAAAGCCTGACTACCCCACCTCTCCCCCCACAATACATTCTTTCTCCAGGCATAAAATGTCAGAGGGCACAACATTTTTTTGAAGGCATCTAGGCTGTTATTGGCTTGGGGGTGGCCAAGAACAAGCATTTCTTGTTGTAATGCTTGGAAAACCTTGGCTTAGGGCCATCTGCCTCTGGTAATTTGGGCAGTGACTGAGGGAATGCCTAGAAATGCCGGCTTAGCAGTGGGTGGTAGCTACTCCCTTTTGTAATGAAGATGGTGGCAAGGATCTCCGCAGTGGAGTGTGGGACAGGTGGTGTGGAATCCAGAGGAATGTTCCCAAGCTGGGCTAGATGCCTTTTTCCATAGAGATTTTCCATCTTGTAGTCTTCTCTTCTATTTCCAGCAAAAAACATGCATTCAAAAGAATTGGGAACCAGTGGAGGTGGGATTCAAGATAAAAATAATAGATGTGGGATTCAAGACTAAACAGATCTTGCAGGAAGAACTGAATAGTTTTATAAATTATCATTGCTATAATTAGGTGAAAGGGCCTTGTGAAGCTCTCTTCCATTCTTCCAGTTCTGCAAAATCTCTGTGTATGCTGCAGTCGTGTTCATTGTGGCATGTGGTAAAGTTTAAACTTAAATGTGTGAAGGACATTATTTTAAATAATCAATAGACACATACCTTCAGTCCTTTGAAACTCTGCAGTATGTTAATTGCTTATTTATGGATTCGCATCCACTCTTCCCTCCCTTGGGTCCTGTTGTGTTACCTCATCATGGGTGAAAGGAAGGATGTTTCTGGAAAGGAGGAACAAGGAACTCCAGAGTCCTTGCCAGGGGTATATATTCCAAGTAGAGCCACTCAGAGCATAAAGTCCACCCCAGCTGCCCAGCTAAAGCAGGTGGGCAGCTAGTACCAGAGGTGGCATTCAGCAGGCTCTCACCAGTTCTGGAGAACTGATAGCAGAAGGTTTGAGTAGTTTGGAGAACCGGCAAATACCACCTCTGACTGGCCATGCCCCCATCTATTCTCTGCCTCCCAAGTCCCAGCTGATTGGCTGGGTCTTCTTTTGTTGCCCTGCACAGGAGAACGGAACTGGAAAGCAGGTTAGTGGGGTGAGGATGGAATGGTGATTTTACAGTAACCTTCCCTTGCCATGCCCACCAAGCCACACCCACCAAGCCATGCTCACAGAACTGGTAGTAATTCTTTTTTAATCCAACCACCCTACAATGGGCAACAACAATATATGAAGATGTTGTATAGATGATTACATTAGTGACAATTTCAAAAGCATCATTTCAAAATAAATGGGTGAAAGCAACAGTAAAGCACTCCTGTATGCTGAATATGTTGATGGAAGAAGGATTGGAAAATGATGACTGTGGTTTTAAAACTGGAGGAAGAAATACCAAAAACCCATACCATCCTGATGGCACCACTCTAACAGCTGAAAATGCAAACAATTTAAAAGTTCTAATAATGAAAATTAAGAAACATAATAACAAGAATGGGACACAGACTGTTGTCCACTTGCAAATGTTGGATGTGATTCAGAAGAAATAATGAATGGTAATATTGAAGCAGCTAAGAGATCAAGCAGGATTAGGAAGGATGCCATATCCCTATCCTGGTCCTCCAAGAGATCACTATCAAAGACCATTATTGTCACATGCATGTTGAATTCAGGGTTGAAACCAGACTGAAATGGGTTCAAATAATCTGCTTCCACCAGGGACCTCTGCAGCCCTATTTTTCTATGCAAGGAGTGTGTGAATGTTTAATGTCCTCAAGAATCAACATAATAAATCTAGCCATGAGAATATTGTGATCTTTAAAAGAATAAAGGCAAGCTCTGGACCATGTTGTATACCTGGCTACCATGTGCTGTTGTCATCTATATATCAACTGGGTTCTTCAGTGTTTGGTTTTCTTGCATGTGTATATAATTGGAATTTGCAGTTATTTGGGTTCATTTATGTGCATATATGCTTCTCTGTGTTTATTTTTGAACTGTGGGAATGTTGACATTTCCCCAGTTCTGGCTGCTTTTGCTCCTTCCCTTGTGACTTCCTTTTTTAACCACAGGGCTTCCTTTGCCTTGATGTAGCCCTCTCTGTCCCTACCTGACCTCATGCCTTGGACTGTGACTCACTGTAGCCCGCCCCCCATCTTGCTTCTTAATTTCTCTTCTTTTCCATCTCCTCAAGAATGCTGGGAGCAGATTAATTGTGGGTCCCAACTGAGCAGGTGGGAACAGCGATTTTGTGAGCTCTTCTGGAAGTTGGCCCACTGGCCATATTTTGGGAGATAATTAATTGGGAGCAAATGTTCTCTGTGCAACAGGACTGCTAGGGTCACACTGGCTGAGCAAGAGGGGCTGGGGCATGTCAGCTGCATAAGAGAGTGTGCTCGTATACACATGCAGTCATAAAAATTTAATATAGCTATTGTTGGCATTCTGATTCTAAGCCATAAAGAGAGGGAGAGGACAGAAACGAGTGAGTGAACATTCTTTGTCATACTAAATGTGGTTAATATACAAATATCCAAGTTTTTGAATTGCACATAGTTATTTGCAAACTTCATAATTGGCAGGAGGTATTTGTGTTTGGCTTTCTTGAGCAAGATTAAAAGACCATAAAATTTAGAGTGACTGACAGATCAACTGGTTTGTTCCACTTGTATTGAATCAAGTAAGTAGTGAAGTGAGATCTGCACACAGTGGAATGACAGAGGTACATCCAGGGCCATGGTTAAATTGATTTGGGTATTGATGAGACAATTTAAAACTTAAAGCAACTGAATACCAGCTAGGGCCAAACTGATCCACAGCAATGAGGTTTATCCAGCTTTAAGCAAATGGTTGAAATTACCTTGGGAAACAGGAGGAAGAACCACAGCCAGGGCAATGGTCAGATGAGAACTATCTCACCCTTCATCAGAAATACAGTTGGAGAAAGTGTTGGAAAAGGGACCCTTATTAGTTTAGTATTTACTAAAGGCAAAGGAGGGGAAAAGTGTTTTGAGCCTAGCAAGATTAGTGTCAATCCTTTGAGGTAGTCCAGACAGGAAACCAAACCAAGAATATTAGTACTCATGGTTTGATTTCCTTTCTGGCCTACTTCAAAGGATTAACAGATTTAGAAGAAGCATGCTACTATAATCTTGTAAAGCTGAAAGCACTTCTCCCCTCCCCCCTTATGCCTTTTCTTCCCAGAGGTTTAGGTCCCTCCTGAGTTGCTTCCTCCACCCCATTCGTTCTGTGGGTTGAGGTATCTCTTGTCTGGCCATTGCCCTGGCTGTGGCTCCTCATCCTGTCTTCCAGGGTTATTCTCACAGCCCATTAATTTGGTAGAGGAAGGCTAACTAGTTAAGCTCTGGAAAATGACAATCTGAGTTAATATTCTGTAAGAATCAACAACAAAAATATGTAATTTTTTAAAGATAGACATGCTGTAATCTTACTTTGTTAGAGTTGTTCTTAAGAGTATAAATATATACTATACAGAAAATTTTCTACACAATAAAGTCTTGGATTGAAAATGCATAAGCATATCATATGTTCATGAGAGATTCTGAATGGTTGTGCTGTGCTTCTTCCTCTTCAGGGTGATCTCCAACAATTACTGCTTGTGCCAGATCCAGCAGCTGCTGCCCAATATTGCCAGGATTACATGCCTGATTGCAACAGACAGCTCATCTACAAATTGCAGACCCAGGATGCAGAAGAGGTAGGTAGGCAACCAAAAGGTAGGAGCTGTTAATAGCCAGGTTTCTGGCCAAGTCCTCTGTGCCAAAGTTCCCTGCAGACACCCAAAGAAAGATGTCTGCTTGTGAGAATGAAACTAGCACCTGGTTGATTAGCTCTACGGAGCCCTTGCTCTCTGTACTTAAATAGTAAAAGCCTCTCTTTCTCCATGTTACTCTATATATTAAACTATGGGTTGAGATATCATTAATATGCTGATAATACCCAATTTAGATCTCTACATCTGGTGACTTGAGTGATGCTATCGCTACCCTCTCATGGTGACTGGAGACTATAGGGGCCTGGATGCAGGACAATGGGCTATGACTGAATCCAGGCAAGACTGAGTGGCTTTGGGTGCATGGAGCTTCTAGATCAGGGTCTTTGACATCTTTGGTTCCAGATGGGGTTGCACTACCCCATTCAGACCCAGTCCTCAATTTAGAGGTTCTCCTGGACTCGCAGCTCCTACTCAAAGATCAGGGATGGACGTGACTAGGAGAGCCTTTGCACAGCTTTGGTTTGTGTACCAGCTTCAGCCTTTTTTGGATCAAGATCCCCTGCTTTCGGTCACTCAAGCCCTAGTCATCTCTACTCTGGATTACCGCCGTGTGCTTTACATGGGGCCACCCTTGAAATGCATTCGGAAACTTCAACTGGTACAAAGTGCAGCAGCACAAGCAGTCCTTGGGGCCTGTAAAATGGCCCATGTGACACTGCTGCTTTGCAAGCTGCACTGGCTGCTAGTTTGCTTCTGAGTGTAGTTATTGATTATGACCTTTAAAGCCCTCTATGACATAGGTCCAGATTATCTGATGAACTGTCTCATCCCACTAAGACAAGCCTGCCCTACTCATGCCAGCAGAGGAGGCCTGCTGAGGATTCCTTTGGTCAAGGAACTCTGACTGATAGGATCCAGGAGAAGAGCCTTCTCTGCTGTAACGCCAGCCATGGGAACATCCTGCTCCCTGGGGTGAGGTTTGCCCCCTTCTTCCTATTCTTCTGTAAAGGCCTGAAGACCTGGCTCTGCTGGTTGGTCTGGAGACCCAATGGGGGAATATATCACTGAAGGTGGCTACTGGACTAATTAGCTGACCCCACCTCCCCCCTTCATTTCCTGTTTCCCATCCACCTTAATTTAATATTATTGTACTTCCATTGTTTATTTTAAATTGTTTTATTCCTTTGCTATTGTTATGTTTACATTTTTAATCATTTTTCCCACAGTTTTATTGTTGTAAGCTACCCAGCCTAGCCCCATGGTGAGATGGGTGGCAAATAAATTTAACAGACAAACAAACAAGATGCATTGGATGAAGTAAGCTGTAGTGCATAAGAGTTTATGCCTTTTGAGAATTTTTCATTGGTTAGCTCCTCCTGATTTTTATTTAAAGACTCAATCTTCTTAGGGTGAATGGGGCAGAATCTGATACTGACTTTGCTGATTTAATAAAATCAAGAAACAGCTACTGAGAGAGAGAGAATTTCAGGGGCATTAAGCAACCTGGGGAAATCCTTATAAAATAATATAAATGCCCCTCTATACACTTTTGGCTGTAGATTTTTATAGATACCCCATCTTCTCCCATCACTCAAGATTTTGTCAATTGCAGTCGTCCTGTAGCTATTTTAACCATGTGTTTTCCAATTTCCTTGGGGAAGAATGGTTAAAAGAGCGACTTGTTGAAAAAAAAGAAAGTAAGTTTGTCTATTTGTTAGATCTTGTCCCTGCCTCTAAGAAATTTGGGCCTGTTGAATGTCGCTTCCTCAGAAGTACACAATCACTGCATCTGCATGATGATGCCATCACAACGTGCCATCATTTTAGTGTTGTAATTGTTTGCTGTGTCTGGAACTTTTTCACTGTAAGCGGTAGCAATCTGGTGGGTGGTGGAAATGTTGAGACACCATCCTGTGTTACTTTAGCTGTATCCATTCCACCATTTGTTGAAATCTTCACACCTCTTTTAGATCCCTAAAGTGATCTGCCCCTGGACTTATCTCCTAAAGATAAGATTCATAAGTTGCTCTGATTACTTATCCTTGTGATTCATGGGAATGGCTCTTTAGGTCTCTTGGATGATTAACCCACAATTGAAAAAAAAGGATAGTTCCCTAGGATCCTGAGGAGGATAGAATTGGGGCAATTTTGGAGTATGTGGATAAAAAGAAACAGATATATTCTTACTTTCCAAATCTGTCTTCTCCAGAAGGTCATATTGAACCACAAATAAATCTGTTGTGTGATGGTCTTCCCTCTGTGTTCTCCAAGGGGTTGGTGCCATGTTCATGTCTGTCTCTTGTGAATGGTTTCCTGGTGGCTGAGCCTGGACGTATGGGTGGTGACTTTTGGTGTTCTAAGGAAATGGGGAAGTATTTTTTTTGTTCTTTCTCAAGTGCCTGTTCTCTCTCTTTTTCTCTCCCCTCCTTCTCTTTTTTTCTCCCCTTCTGTATCCTATCTGCTCCCCTCCCCTCTTTGTGCAGAACATCCCACAGAGGAAGGGAAAGAAGGGCAAAGGCAAAGGAAGGGGCAAGGGCAGGAAGAAAGGTAGAGGCAAGAAGAAGAGAAACAAAGAGTCCCTCGAGAAGTCCTCGCTCAGTCCAACCTCAGGCGAGGTAGAGAGTGCAACTAACTGCTCTCTGCTGGTCTAATAACTTCTGGTCCCTGACAGCCTAACCCATTGCCTCCTAACATGCCTAACCCCTCTAATTAGCAGCTTCCTCTTGCTTTATCATCAATGGTTCTTCAGGCAGAACTGCTTGCAGAGTGTCTGGCCTTTCTGCCCTTATGGCTACCCATTGACTGCCTTGCATGAGGGCTGATGGTTCCATGTGCAAATAGCCTCTGGCTAGGGAGCTCAAGGACTCTTACTTCCATTAGTCCTGATTGGCTGCAAAGTTCCAAACAGAGGTGAGTTTGAACACCTGAAGACATGTTCTTCTCTATCAAGTGCTGGGCCAATGCATTTTCAGTTTTCCTTCTGATGTTCAGTCAAAATCAGGAGAACTCATGGTCACTCCAGAAAGAGGGCTGCAGAGGAATTCCTATGTAGATGGGCAGCTGAAAGAATTCATGATATGTCTCAGGAAAATATCTGTATAGATTTTTGCTGGCTCCTTCCTGGTACTATGACATCAGCCTCTGACAGTACAGTATTTTCAAAAGTGAAATTTAAAACAAATAATTAATAATTAATTTTAATTAAAATCTATGTAGGATGCAAACTTTCATTCAGCCTTATTATTATTGAACCATTAATTCTGAAATGGCATGGCATCTTCCACTGATCGAATATCCAATTATATGAATAAGGATCAGTTATAATGAGCAACAGTAGGTACTGTGTTACTGGTTTCATCCTTATTGGGAATCTTCAGGTGCAGATAAGCGGATGTTATTCTATTGGGGTCAAATCGAATAAGTGTAGAACTCTGGGAAGTGAAGTCATGTATCTTTGCTCTTCAGACAATTATGAACAATGCATTAGCTTTAGGAGCTATGTAGATCCTGGTGCTAAACAGTTGCAGGAGGGAATATCTTAGAAGCACTATCAGAATGACAATAAAGGTAGTCCTCATTTGTCAACTATAGTTGGGGCTGGCAACTCAGTCATTAATTGAATTATGGTCTTCATCTTTCCTTTGTTTTATAGATCGGAGAAGCTTATAGTGCAATAATTGGCCACAGTTACTTCTTCCTTACTGTGATAACTGCAAACAGTAGCTAAACAAGGACTACCTGTATAAAGTCCATCTTTTGGAAATGGCTTATAATTAAAATACCACAGGGTTCCTTAGCTACCATATGCAGAGCTTATTGTCTTTGAATAACAAAGCTGGGGTAACAGCTATTTATCTGGATTTAAGTGACTTTTCAAAAATGACATTGTAAATATATGCCTCAACCTCATGGAAGCCCTTCCGTTACCTTATCAGGTTTTGAATTTTGAAGATGAAAACATATTTTGGTCTAGCACATGGAAGAAATACAGAATATGGCCACTCTGAGAATTCAGAGAATTCAAGTTGAACATGATATAATAGAATGTAAGTGTTAAAAAGGATCTTGGAGATCATTTAGTTGAATCCTCTTCACTGCACATCTCTGGTAGATGTCCATGTAGCATTTATATCAACACTTCCAATAAAGGAGAATCTATTATCTTCTGAGGCAGTTGTCTCTTTATGGAATAGCTTGCATCTTAGGACATTTGTCCAAATGAAATAATTTAAATCCACTGTGATTTATTCCTGTTTTCTGCAACGGCTGCAAATAGTTCTATTCCTCCTTCTATGTGACAACCCTTAAGATACATGAAGTCAGCTATCATGTCTCCCTGAAGGCTTCTGTTCTCCAAGCTAAATAAATTCAAGTGTTCTTCATAATCCTCCCCCTCCTTCCAGATCCTTAATCATTTTGGCTGTTCTCTTCTGGACACACTCCATTTCTTGATCTCCTTCTCAAAATGTGGTGCCCAGAGCTAAAAATATTCTAGGCACTGCATAGTCAACATACAGTAGGATTGAGAGAAACAATAACATGCACAAAAATTATGTGCATACAAATGTTTTCTTTTAATGTATACATTTTGTACATAACTTTCCTATTCAAAATTCTTGTAAATACTTTTTGGAATTGCAAATTGCCTACATTTTCAGGAAACCTATTCCTGCATTAATTATGCATTATCAATAATAGGCCCTAGTTTGGGTCTGCCATGGAAGCTATAAATGTGACATTGGAATTTTAAGGTATTGTGGCTTGAAGAGGTTAATTCAGGAAAAACTGTTAATCAGCACTCCCACAAAAATAGTTGGCTCCAGTTTCCTTTCCTGGTGATAATAGGTTTGGTATCTTTCCTTTTATCCATTTTATTCTCTATTTTTCATGTTCCTGCCCCTGTTTTCTCTACTTTGGTGATTTTGAAAAGAAAATAGCAAAAGTTCTATATACTTTGCAGTTTGGGCAGCACCCACTATTTTTCTTCCTTTATCCTAAAATATCAAGGAACAGTATGTGGCAAGGAGACTGTGAAGATTTGAGTAAAGATTTTACTCAATCACAAGCTGGTTAAACCTGCTGGTTAAATCTGTAGAAGATCAACTGTATGCTTTAAAAAAAGTCTGAAAGGTTATTAGGAGACTCTCCTAACTTCCTGCTAGCATTAGCTATGCAGTGAAAAGCGATGTTAAAAATGGTACCAAATAGCTCACAGCTAATAACAGCTTTAGATTCAACCATTATTTTTGGTTATGTATGTAAGTTGATCATAAGTTATAGGTTTATGGTAGTTGAATACTGTGCACACTCTTGTTTAATTTTGCTGGCACAACTAGGTTTAGCAGTTTAAGAAATTTGTAATTTTATAATAGAATCTGGACATTATCTTAAGAGTTTTAACAGATTTTTTTTTGCAATTGTTGATCCTTTTGTTCTGATTGTTTTAGCTTATGATCAAACAAATATATTTGCATTTTGTTTTCCTCTTGTCTTCCACTAATGACCTTTTTATGTCAGGGAAGCATCCCCAAATGTGTGAAATACAGGACAGGGGGATGCTGAGCTCATCCTGCCAGTGAATCATTCTTGCCTTGGCCAAGGGGAACCTTTTCCCCGCCAAATGGAGCAGCTGGCAGAGTTCCTTTTTCTAGAATCAGAATTACAGCTGTTTGGCTGTTTAGTATTGGCAATAACAAAGCATTTCTCTTTTCCTTGTCTAATCTCTTCTCAGGAAGAATTTGCCACCCACTTATCCCTTTCTTCTCTCCTAATGTAGGCACAGTTCATTTCATCTAATTCTGCAAATACTTGTCTAGCAATAAAGTTCAGGTTTGTTGTGCATTTGATCGGGTAGACAGCTGTAGCATCCCTTTTATATAGATTCCTATTGTATGTGAGTGAAATTGCAGCCCCCAAAGTTAATTCTTTGGTTAGTTTTTGGTTTAGTCAGTCCATTTTTGCAATCATGCCTTACTGCATCCTGAGATATCTTTACAATGCTACAAGTTCTTGAAGAATTTACTAGACTGATTTGCCTTTTCAAAAGAAGCTCCTTCAGGATTAAAAGTTGTCCATGGAGATTTATGCACAATGTTGAGGAGGTGGCTTTTTCTGTAGTCTTAGGAGTCTGTAAAGAAGCTATTTCAGGGGCGGTTTAGCCCAGTAGTAAATAGATGGAAGATAGAGTTACTAATATACATTTGTGTACACAGACACAACACACACACGCACACATACACAAACACACACTGTCGCCAGAAAAACTTTATGATAGCTTTGATGTAAACATTGGGGTTTCAACTTTACTTGAGGGCATCTTCAGGCAAGATTGGCAGTAGTTTTGAAAGTGATTTGTCATTGCCTTCTTTCTGCATCCAAGTTAATGCTTGATTCAAATGTTAACTAAGCCTTGCCTTGCTTAGCTTTCAATGCTTGACAAGTTCATCCAGATTCAGATCCCACTTTGGGATATACTTAAACTGAAGAACTTGGTTGCATTCAAGGACGTACGCAAAGATTTCATGTGAGAGGAAATACATGACTACTTAAGATCTGTTGCCTTTGCACTTTTCCTGCTCCTGCAACCTATTGGAATCATCAGAATACAGATAGTCCTTCACTTAACAACCACAATTGAGCTCAAAATTTTGATTGTTAATTGAGACAGTTGTTAAATGAATTTTTCCCCATTTTACAACTTTTCTTGCCACGGAAAATCACTGGAGTTGTGAATCTGGCTTCTCTATTAATTTTGCTTGTCAAAAGGTCTCAGAAGATGATCACATGACCCAGGACACCGCAACCGTCATAAATATGAGTCAGTTGCCGAGTGTCAGAATTTTGATCACATGACCATGGGGATGCTGCAACGGTTGTGTGAAAAACAGTCATTCGTTTTTTCAGTGTCGTTCTAACTTCGATTGTAAATCAAGGATTATCAGTAACCAAAAAGATTATATGATTTCCTGACATAGCATCTCTTTCCCTAGTAACTTTGAGTTTCAAAATTGCCAATCCACAAACCTTATTTCTTTCTTAGAACATCGAGTGACGTTCCTTCTGCAGTTACATATATTCATCAACCCCCCTTTTTTTCCCTTCTAAGTCCATATTCAGGGGAACTTTCCCTATGTGTAGAAGTCACCTGCAATAATGAAATAATACTCTTCCCAAGGTGCTATTTTGTCTTGCCTCAAGATCTGCTGGATGTTCATGGGAACATAACACTTGGAATACATAAATTAGAAGTAGACTTTAAAAGAATGGCTATGAGCTCACATAGATATCAGAAGATAACACTGCAGCAGGGAACACAATTCACTGACCTTCAGGCACACCTGTCCTAGAAAATGACATACCCAGCACATTGATGTCAACAGCCTATACAGTTTACTCACAGATTGTTGATGGGCTGGGACAAGTTGGCAGAAGAAACTCTTTTCCTCGTATAGATTTTGCTATCTCTTTACAGATTTCCAGATAAATGAATGGCACCAAATGTGAATTTTCCTACCAGGTGTTCTAAGTTTTGTAAGTCTCAGAGTGAAAAACTGTACTTAATGTGCTTGAAAGCGCAGCTGCATTTCTGCCTCTTTCCCAATATAGTACAGCCTCTGATCTACTGGAGCTTTTCCCCTTTCTTACCAAACTCCACTCCTAGATCTGCTAGCAAACATGGTTTAACTAGTAGGTGCTGCCAAATGTATTTCAGTGTTTAAACCCTCAAGGAACTTGGCAGGTATGATGCCAGGAGATTTTACACTGAAAGATTAATCTTTTATAATAAGTTCCAAGCACATCTCTTAGGCATGGAGGTATGAAAGGCTATTTCTGCTCTAACCTCAAGGTACTAGATTTTATTGGCCTGAATTTCTCTTATATCGTGACCACTTTAGTTGGCTTTTGGCTGCTGGCATATTTCTAACCCCTAAAGAATTTGTGCAAATCTATGTGCACATTGCTAAATCTATGTTGCCAAATAAGGTATATATTCCTTTAACATCTTATGTCTTCCCACCACCTTCAAGAATGAGATTCCAACAGATATTACTCCAATGAAGGCAGCTACTGAGTTCTGGGGAAAGGATCCTGATGCAGAGCTTGGCATCCTCACTTCTAGCACTATGACAGCCAACTTCAACCTTACACACAATTATGAGGTAAGATAGACATTGTTTCCAAGGCCCCCAGGGTGCTCTTTCATTATCAGAGTCTAAAGAAAGCAGGGAAGGGGTGAAATGTAGTTAGGATAGATATAAAGATGGGAAAGTTTAGGTGCAATGCTTTTTTTTTTTGTACTGAAAACTATGTTTTGGTTTTGGAGCCAGCCAAGTCCCCAAAATGTAGTAAACAGGCCTGGAAACAGCTGAAGTTAATTTGATTGAATTTATTTCCCAGTCATGTTTTTAATAATTTAATTCATATGCTTCACTAAAAGTATAATTTGGCATCAAATTTTGAAGGTCTTTAGAGGCTGCTTTGGGGGCCACATGAAGCTCTGGGATGTCAGTTAATTCATCTGTGGTCTGTGGTATGTCAACATTCATGAATGTTACAAAGACTTTAAGGCCATAAGATGTCTTCAGACCATGCATATGGTCTCACTTTCCTAGGACTTTATCACTCCAAAATGCAGAATCCAGAATAACATCTAAAGAATCTCTGTTGCCAATTCTACCTTTAGATACAATGAGGTAGTCCACTCAGATCAGGGAAGGATTTGGATTTGAACTGAATCCCTACCAATTGTCTTCCCAAGATACTGCCTATAGCAGTACGTGCAGTGTTTTGTTTGTTTTGGCAGCTTTTCACAATACAATATTAGGCTAAGAGTTTCGCATTTGCAAAAGGGTTGCCTTCTCTAGCACCTTTCCAGAGTCTTCATATGAGGCATCATGATGATAGACAGCCACTCTAAAGAGCTGCCCCAACGTCAATATTTTGCTTTGAATGCTATTTGGAGAAAATGATTGAGAGCTGCAAGTTCTTCAAAATAGTTGGTGTCCCTGAGGAATGGCCAGAGTAAAACCTATGGCAGTCTGCCTTACCAGAAAGCTGCACCCATCCTGAAACCTGATTAATGTGGCTCTTCAGGGCACTCATTTTGACCCATAGCTGACTTTAATGGGAGAAATGGTCAAGAAGGGAGAATGGGAGGAGTGGCAGTAGCAGTCAGTGAAGGATGGAGCTAGCACAATGTATAAAAAAGGCAGTTGGAATAACCCAATAGATGGCAGTTGTTTCTGAGACATCCAAAATCTTCCTATTTGTACTTTAGTTTGGTTGCTTCATTTGTATATAAAGTGAGAATGTGATTTGGGTGTGTTCAGTTGTATCCACTCCTAATAAGAGGTGCCATAGTCCCAGAAAAACTATGCCATATTTTTTACTTAACATTACAATTGTTTTTATTAAAATCTTGGAGATGGACACTATATTGTCTCCAGCCAGTGACATCACCCTCAGGTTCTCCATCCATCATATAGTTTCAATTCTAACCTTTTCATTAAAATCCTCAAAAGAGAGTTTATAATAACCCTTGTTGGACTTGAAAATGCTGAATGGAATATGCTTTTCAGGTCCTCACTGTTGAAAGAGTAACTGGACATATTTTTATTTCAATAGGGATTGCACATAACTAGTAGCAATTTGGTGATTAAATTACTGCTGGGAAAATCCAACTGTATGCCATAGTAATTTCCCATGGGATAATTGTAAGAAACAATGTAGATATTTCTCGGGTACAGTGTAAGTATTACTGTCTGGGATAGAAATCACCAAGCTGCCTTTTCCCTCTCAGTCTGTGGCCAAAACAAAGAATTAAAACAGCAATTTAATTCTTAACCGTTGGAAATGTAAACCTAGTTTAGGACAGAGCAGAAATGGGAAGATAATAGTTTGGGATCTACTGGTTAGATCTTTATATGATTTGAATTTAAGATACTGAACTTTTAATCATTTATCTACAATTCTTCAGAATTATGAAATCTATCCTTGAAATTTACCTGCAATCTCTGAGAGAGACCTTACTAGGTTTTTAAAATTGGATTAAGATTTTAGGTATGATCTGGGTTGTCGCTTAAACAACTTGAGGAATTATTCATAAATATACATTATTTATGAATATACATAAATTTATGAATATATATAAATATACATTACATACAGAAATATGATGAAAACAGGAAAGGAATAAGAAAAAGTAGATTTTTTTGGTACGACTTGGTTTCATTTCTGGGATACAAGGAAAATGTCAAGTTTCTTTAATTAAAACTTCTTTAATTCTATGTGTCTATATTCTTGTTTCAGTCGGTGGATCTTGAGGTTCTAGTAAACAAAGCAACGCAACAATAAATGAAATGATGTAAAATAAAAACAAAGTTCCGCAACCTCTACATTTTGCTATTATCTCTTATAAATTAAAATGGGAATAAAATACTACTTCCCTTATCATTTAACATTACTGTTATGCAAATCCATAACTTTTTCAATTGTACTCCAACTGTTTAATACCTAGCCTTATCAGGGGAAGAAAATCCACTGGATTGAACCTTTGGTTCATGTTCCTCATCCCATCTAATCAGAAGCTATACATAACCATTTCCATAATTTGTTAGATCCCGCCATTATTGGTAATCCGGAAAATATGTACACATATAAACATCCAAAAGTCTGTTGGTGTATTCAGGATAGGAAGATGTATATTAGAGGCTGTATCCCATGCAAAACCATATACCTAGATTCTAGAATATGCATATCTGTGCAGGCCTGAACAGGATTCAATGAACAAAGTTTCTTTTCTTTTAAAGGAAAACATAATGTAATGCTAGGAGAAAGAGTTACATATAGGAAGAGACAAATAGTGTGCAATGTAGTTATCATTAAATATGTCTACTGTACTTCATATCCCCTTTCCTAATCCCCAACAGGACTTTCTTGGAGAAGAGTATTTAATCAATGAAAATAGAGACTTGAATGCCAATGACACTTACAGAGCATTTGATGAGAGACTTGACAATAAAGATTATGAGGACTACTATGACCGACGAGGGGCCAGTGAAGCAGAGCACTATGATCCAGCTGAGCACATTGAAGCCACCATCCTACTTCCTGAGGTAGCAACTCTACCAACATTTCTCTTAAGCAATGAGTAACCATCTGAACACTGCAGAAATAATCTCATTTCATTCAAATAATGCATTCCTTATTTGGAACTAAGCTCAGTTTTACTCAGTGGTGCTTGTTTTTGATTGTATAAGTTCAAAAACATACTGAGGCTTAACCAGTTGGAACGCAAGTATTGCAATTCTAATTAAAAGATAATCTTGCAAACAAGACATACCATTTAAACTCTTTAAGCTTCAGAATAAGAGAGGAAAGGACTAATCTCTCTTTTATTAAAAATACTGATTTGTCTAGTCTTTTGAAAATAATAATAAAATCTTTGAGCCAACTTAACACTCTTCCGATTGCTAGAGCAAATAGAATCTTAGCATTCCTGCACATAAATTGCTCCTGATTTGCACTCCCTCATAAGCTCCCTTCTGTTGTTTCATTGTTAGGTCATGACCCTCAGTTGCATTGATTGTTGTGGGTCAAGACCCAAAGTCTCATCTGAAATCCATGAGAAGATGGAATAACAAAAGGTGGTAGTTCATCAGCGGAGCTACAATGTGATTATAATCTGCCTCTC